CATTCCTTGTCCTAACATCATTTACATTCCTGTGTTGTGTAAGAACTTCAAAGAAAGTCCTCTGTACAAATGACTCCTTGATAGTTTCACCACAGCAATCAGTGGTGCCCATGTGTGTCCTGCCAGCTAGAGTTAAGTAAGTGGTTGATTGCAGAGTTTGGGTGGGAAATGTATAACAAAACCTCAGAACTTTGTGATGCCATGCCACACAGACACAATTAACATGGTAGCACATCTTAGAAGGTCTCAGATGGACAGATGTACCTCTCACTGACTAAGTTAACATTTGAACATTAAATGAATTATACACAAACATGAACATTTCTAAAAAGTTGCTAATCCTCCAACAAAAATATTTTAACAAAGAAATAATAAGAAATTGGGTAACATGAGTTTCTTGTTTGCAGCACACTATCAAAGACTCACAGGTACAGGTAGGAGGGTTGCTGGAGCTGCCAATGAGGCATCAGTTCTAGCAGGAGAGAAAATGTGCATGATGAAGGATTCACAGCAATGTCATCAGGGAAGGGAAGACTGGCAACAGAACACAATTGCCTGTTACTCTGGGAACTCTTTCCCTGCTGTTTATTAGAAGTATGGAGTGAAAAAAAGGAAGAAGCTCTAGAGTGTAGAAACCAAATAGTACCCTCACTGGGAAACTGAAATTAAAGCCACTGATGAGAGAGGTATAGATATGCCTCTGGCTGGGATCCCTGAAACCCATAGTCTTCCTATTTCCTGATGGCTGCAGCTCTTTCATAGCCAGGATATAACTCTGAAGCAGGAACATTTTATTCTTTTTTTTTCATTTTTTTTATTAATTAACTATATTCACTTTGTATCCCCCCATAAGCCCCACCCTCCTCCCCTCCCGATCCCACCCTCCCTCCCTCTTCTTCAAGAATGCCCCTCCCCATGTCCATTGATAGGGGAGGTCCTCTTCTCCTTCCTTCTGATCTTAGTCTATCAGATCACACCAGGAGTGGCTGCATTGTCATCTTCTGTGGCCTGGTAAGGCTGCTCCCCCCTCAGAGGGAGGTGATCAAAGAGCAGGCCAATCAGATTATGTCAGGGGCAGTCCCTCATCCCATTACTATGTAACCCACTTGGACACTGAACTGTCATGTACTACATCTGTGCAGAGGTTCTAGGTTATCTCCATGAATAGTCCTTGGTTGGAGTATGAGTCTCTGGGAAGTTCCCTGTGTTCAGATTTTCTGGTTCTGTTGCTCTCCTTGTGTGGAACATTTTATTCTTAAAGAAGGGAGCATTGTTGAAACTGCAGGCTACACAGACCTAGGGCTAAAAGCAGTGTGAGATCCTAACTCCTTCTGTGCTTGAGAAAAACGTCTGCTCAGGAGCACAGTGCTGTGTCACGGGGTCAAAATGCACCATGGATTCAGCAATAGATGCAAGGTTCAGTGCTAGATTTTCTGGCACTGAATAGCTTTGAAACTTACTATGTAGACCACGCTAGCTTTGTTCTCGGGATATCCTCCTGCTCCAGTGCCCAGTTGCTGAAATTGTAGGCATCCACCACCACATAAGGCTTAAGGTAAAGACCTTTGATATTTTTTTGCAAATTATTTATAAGCACACAGTGAAATATCTAGATATAAAGAAAACCAAGAAATAATTTCAAATCATCTTATGAAAAAAAAAATATATATACCCCTTGACTTAATGATAGTTCAGTCTGGGAGTTTTGAGTTCATCATTCTGCAGAAATGATACAGGCTCACATGAATTGTGCTTGCATGTGGATCTTTCCATAAGCTTATGATATGTGGTATGCATTTTCATGAGGCTGTCCAGGGGTAGGCCCAGGCCCACCACACTGCTGAGCTCTGACGCTGGGTACACTAAGGGTACTTGGATACACATGTACTCTTTATGTGATATGTAAAACAGGATGCAACTCCCTCACAGGTTGCAAGTAGTCTTTTGTCAACCTGACACAAGCTTAAGTCAGTTGAGGACTTGCCCTACCCAGGTTGGGCTGTGGGCGTGTGTATGGGCATTGTCTCTCATGATGATCAATGTGGAAGGATTCAGTCCTTTGTAGTTGGTAGACTCATGGCTGGGGCTGAGATGGGGGCAAGCCAGTTGGCAGTGTTCTTCCATGTTCTCCAAGTTCCTGACTTGAGTTCTTGCCCTGACCTCCCTCAGTGATGAACTGTGAACCAGATAAACCCTTTAGTCTCCAGGTTGCTTTTGATCATGGTGTTCATCACAGCAACAGAGAGCAAAGCAGGGCATAGGCTAAGTAGCTTCCAGAGAAATAAATCTCGGTTTAAGTGAGGTAAGAAATTCATCAATCCACAAGCTCAGTGAAGCACACAGCAGATGGCAGCAACACAAGTGACAACTTCCTCGGACCCAGGGCTGCTCTGGACATGGCCATGTCAGGGTTTACATGTCTGTAGATTAGGGAAGATCCAGGGTAACCCACCAACCTGTGACCTGCTAGGAGCCACTCAACTGATCATGGAGGAGGCACACAGCCTTGATAAAGAAACTGGGAAACAAAGCAAGCACATTGCATGTGTGCAGAACCCAGCCATGGCTTCTATGCAGAGCCCTAACCCTGTTTATGTACTGACAGCTGTTTTCAGATGTATATTCTCCCACTGCATGGAAAGAGAAACAGCAGACATTGTAGGATGTCATTGTTTTCCAGGCACAACAATAAATGAGTAACTGAAATCCACAATTTTGCTTTAAAGATAAATATTTAAGTTAATGCAATTATCAGGCTCACTTTATGAGGCAGCATTTGAATGTAGACCCTTAACATGTTGTAATTTGAAATTTATGAAAATATTCTCAGAGTCCGGCTATTCATAGATAATTATTAATGTTTATGCTAATTTTACTCATTTTCTTGGTATGGTAGGATCAGGAAAATGAGTCTGTGCAGTTTAATTTATAAATCCAATCTGTCTTCCTTCAGTTTCTGATGCTATCTGTTATCTTTATTCTAATAACTTCAGTAACTGGCATTCTTGTTATTTAATTAAACTAAAATATATCCAAGCATATATCAAAGGCACATGGGCAGGCAAGCAAACACAGTGAAATGGGAGCATTAAGTCCAAAATATTAATCTAAAATTATATGTAGATAGAATTATGTGCTTCATTCTTACAAAAGTCATAGTGCCATCAGAGTCAATCCGGGAGAGATGATTAAGAATCATTCGCACTTTTGAATATTTTAATTTTCAAGGCACACTTATGTCTATTATCTTACTCATGTCCCATTACACCTAGGCTGCTTCGATAGAAAAAGAATGTTGGTTACCGTGAGATGGGAGGAGAAAACGCAGAACATGTGCTGGATATCCTATAACAAGCTCATATCATGACAACTTGCTCCTTGGAGGTGCAGAGAGAATGGCTGCTCAGGTTCTCATGAGGACAACTCCGGCAGTACGTTTGTTAGTTGGCCCATTCTAACTCTATGCTTCGAGCCGTCACAGCTAGAGATAATCGATACATGGTTTTGGAAAGTAGGAACATTTGAAGATAGCAGAGGTTTGGATGAGATGAGCCCAAGAACCAGCATTTCAGCTTAGAGACCTGTGTGTCGGCTGCCTGGTCTCAGCCTGTGTTACTTCTGGCCTGCAGAGAGCCTGCATGGGTTTGACATTCACGTGTCAGTTCTGTGATTCCTGTCAAAGCTCTGGAGCGTGAAGTGTTGGTAGTCAACAGTGCACTGAATTTCAGAACTGTTAGAGGAGCATAAGTGGACCTGGGTAAGCATGCAGTCCTGGGATGTAGAGTTTCTCTCCCGTTAATAGCAGCACTTAACGTATGGTGTGGTGAGTCTGGTTAGACTCACTGCGTGAGAGGCACCTGGAAGGCTCTTAAGGATGCATGGTATCAAATAAAGCACCGGCAGATAAAGCAGATGCTCCAAGTGTGCTCTTTCTCTGCCTATATATGGTGTTCCTTTCTGATTTTATTAACAGCAGTTTCATTGTTTGACCAGCTTTGTTGAAGCTTTTCTCCCCAAAATAAGGAAAAACAACTGAAATAAAAAAATTTATTAATCTTAAAAAGAAGTGGGATCCTAGAAAATGAAGTAACATCATCAGTTTTAAGAAATGAGTGTAATTAATAAAGAAAAAATGTAAAAATAAATAAATAAATTTAAAAAAAGACTTAGAAGAAAAAAAGAAATGCATAAAGCTACAAAGTGAAAACTTTTATTTCTTTCATTTCTTTGGGGGGGGCTCTGTGCACAGGTGTCTGTGCCAGTTCATGCACTTGTGTGCATACTGAGGCCACACAGGTGGCCTTGTGTCCTGCTCATCACTGTTCTTCTCTCTCGAGACAGGGTTTTCAGAAAATCTAAAGGGGCTCCTCTTGTTAGTTCAGACTCACAGACTGCACAGAAGCTTCGGCATTGGAAATACAGACACTGCATGACGGTTGCCATTAACTCACTACAATTGAGTTCAAGTCTTCTGGAAAATGAGCACATTTGGTGTGCTCCACCACAAGATGGTGGAGGCCATGAGCACCTAGGAACCTGTCACAGACCTCCCATCACCAATCATGTGATCTCTGTAAAAGTCACTTCAATGTTAGGGCATGTCAGTCCCTCATCAGGTAAATTTAATCCTGACCCCCAAATCTTTAATTCTGCACAGCAGCTTTAAATCAGACCCAGCAATGCACAATTTGTATAATTCCATTCTTTTCTGATTACCTCAGCACTGCATGCTGGCTACCAACATGTGAATGTCATTGAGTAAGTTCCCACACATTTAACTGAACAGCTTTTCCTTTTGTAATAATTTTTAGCCTTTTCTATTGATTTGCGATTTCCCAAAATATTAAAATGAAAATAACCCTGCCTACTGATGGTTTGAGCTATTCATTCCTCCAGTTTCCTTGACCCATGCTGCCTTTACTCATAGCCCATGGAAGAGGAGGGAAATAAAAGGTTTCCCTTCCTTTCTGGCCTGGCAATGCTGGAGGTTACCCACTCACCTGATGGGGAAATATGCCTCCAGGAAATGGCAGGCTCTGGCTTCCCGGTGGCCAAGCACGTAAGGGTGACATTGGTTCCTTCGTTGATGGTCATGTCATTTGAGATGTCATATATTTTCGGAGGAACTGAAAAGGCAAAGACACTGTGGTGAGACTTAATACTTATAAGACTATGTTGAAATGCCCTTGAGTATTTCAACTCTAGGACATCCTAACAGAGATGATTTTTTATAATCATTCTTCAGTCTGCAGGTCTTGCCTCCTGGAGAGCTCTGTAGAAACCCAGACCTCTGATAGTTTGGCCCATTAGTTAGATTTCTCTTTCTCTAAATATTTTCTCTAATTATTATCAATATGAACATGATGTTTAATAATAAAGTTTTGATATCAACTGAATTTGTACTTTGAATAATGTGCACTGAGTAATTTAGAACACTGGGCCATCTCCCTATTCTGCCTAGCATTGTCACTGTATGGTGGGCTCTGCTTTGAAAACGGTTTATAGAAGGTCCATTGTGCCTGCGTGCTGACTTATGCACTGCATGAAGCAGTGTGGGATGAAAAGGAAGGTTGATTTAGGGTCAGAAAGCCATGTGCCGCTTCCATGCATACTGAAGACAGTGGGGCTGGGCATGCTTGGAGTCACTGTTCTGGGGAGCAGAGGTGATTTAGTGAAGACTGCATTGGTAAGAAAGAGCTCTCTGAAGCAGATCACACTGCAGCCAATATGCTTGCCATGCTCTTGTACATGGTGGCTTTGCAGGGTGATTGGAAAACACACTGGGGACTTCCTGATGCATTAGACTCAGGAGAAAGTGACAGCTCAGGGTCTTCACTAAGATAGAGAGACAGAAGCTAAACAGTATTCTATGTCCAGAATTGGAGTACCTGAACCACCACGGGCTCAGAGGTCAGAAAGGAACCTGGTATCAGTGTCCCTGTTCTAATTGTCTGGTGAAAAGCACATGTGTGTCATGGGGGTCTAACTTCAGAAGAGTTCCCAAGCATTATCATTCTGTCAGTGATGTCATCACTCTAAAAATGATGTCATCATTCTGACAATGATTTCACAACTTACGCAATGATAATTTCACTTTGACAATTATATCATTACTTTAATAATGCCACAAATGGCTGTCGTGTTATGCTTGACTTAAAAAAAAGCTGCAGTATTTTGATAATGCCAGTAAAATCTAAGTAAGAGGGAATTAGTAACTTTAATTGATTAGGAAACTGGCCTTTCCTGAAGGGTCATTTGAATTACTCCATTCTGTTTTGTGTTTTTCAATAGTTATTTTCAAGTCCAGTAGCTAGACATTGTAATTTTATAACAAGTTACCCATATTCTTTTACATTATCTTTGAACATTTTTCATAGAATCAAAGCTCTACTGCAAGAAAATCAAGTTGATTCATTTGTAAGCTGGTTCACATGCCCGGAGCATAGTTGCAAAGTTCATGCCGTGTGTGCACCAAGGACACCCTCTAATAAGCATTCAAAGTACATTCTTGTCATGTTCTTTATTTAGCTCTTAGGCAAACTACAATAATGGTTCTAAACAGGATGTTCTTTTCAGTTTTGAGTAGAGACCAGGACATTCTAGAAGAAAGATATAGAGACTTTTTGCGTCTATCTGGTAAACAGGGGAGTTACTGAAAATGAAATGGTAACACTGAAAAAAGTGTCAAGTCGCAGCCTCTGAAGAGCTTGCTGTACAGACAGAAGGACCTGAGTTTGCATTTCTGGCACCCATGTAGATGGCTCCGTTGCTACTGGTGCAGGACCCTAACACCAGTGCCGTGGAATAGGAGAGAAGATGCTGCCTGGGTTTGCTGGCCAGTGCAGCTGAATTGTGAGCTGCAATTACTGTACAGAACCCTGAATCACAAACAAGATGGAGAGGGAGAGAAAAGGACACATGACATGACTCACTGGCCTTTACCCACACAGAAAGATGTGTGTGAAAGCTTACATACAAAATTAGGTACATATATAAGCAAGCACACAGGTAAAACATGTTTACATTATATGAACTATGTAGAGAGATTAGCTTTAGGAATAAGTCTGCTAAACTGTGAGATACTTGTACCTATGTATACATACACATACGTACCTACAGGCATAGGCCCCTTACACATACATAGAGGATGAGTAGATCATCATGCACCCATACAGGCATAGGACCCTACACATACGTAGATGATGGGTAGATCGGCTTCGGCCCCTTACACATACATAGATGATGGGTAACTTGGCCAAACTGTGTGTACCCTAGAAAGATGAAAGAGGTGTCTCTCATATGGACTCTGTTGCCTGCTTTTTGATCACTTCCCCATGGGGGGGGGCAGTACTGCCTCTCCAGGCCACAGGGGAGGAAGATGTGCTAAGTCCTGATGTGACTTGATGTGCTGGTCTGAGTTGGTATGGAGGAGGCTTCACTTAGCTGAGGAGGAGGGGAGGGGTAATAGCGGTAAGTGGGGAGGAGCATGGGAAGAAGAGGAGGGAGCAGCTACAATAAGGATGTAAACAGAATAAACAAATAATTTTAAAAATGCCAATGTCCAGTATGAAAAATGTTAGGTAGTATTTGCACAGAGTTTTAGTCAACTATGGATAATTTCTTTTACAAAGTCAAATGTGTTAAATGACTCCAAGTTGGACATGAGTATGCATATTTAATGCAAATACTGCTGTCCTTTAAAAATCATGCACTCTTGTCCTGAACAGTGGGCCTTTTATCAACCCCAGCTGAGCCTATGTCCACCTGCTCATCCAGTGTTCAGCTTCACACTGAGTTCATAGTAAGCATTAGTGTTTGACTAAGTGGGAAGCAACCCGTCTCTTAGCCATGCACTTTGACCTGACATTTTCACAGCCAGAGGCACTAAGGAGGCACTAATAACTCTAAGGTGTCACCTGTCACTCCAGAGATGGTAAGATCTCCTAGTATGTGCTACAGCAAAGAGATGGTAAGATCTCTTATTATGTACCACAGTGAAGAAACATCTGGAAGGTGGTTCTAATATGAAAAAAAAAATTATCTGACTGAGCTCATTCCCAGGATGCATCAGATGCCAGCGGCAGGTGCTCTGTGGAAACACAGGTTACACCCTTTTGAACTGTTGCTTGAAGAAGTGAAAACAAGGGGGCCTTGTTGAATATTCAAAATTACTGTGCATTCAGCTTTCAAGCCTTCCAGTTTCTACCAAATACTGTAGAAAGAATCACTCTAGACCTACAGAAAATTCAGAAAGTTAAAAACCTAATCCTCACACTAAGACATTTAAAGGAGACAGTGGACAGGGAATTAACTAAGAGAAATGCCACTGCAGATCCCCTTCAACATCTCTGCATGATGTTGATTTTTATATGTGAGATGCATAACCAGCTCAGTATAACCAGCTCAGCATAACCAGCTCAGGAATAACCAGCTAAGGCATAATCAGCTCAGGAATAACCAGCTCAGAAATAACCAGCTCAGGCACAGCCTGTGAGGGAGGAAACATCGAACCCCAACCAGACAGCTAAGGGGGTGTGGGTGCAGAGAACAGGTCAATGTTCAGCTCCAAGAGAAAAATAAGCCAGTTGTACTGAGAAGGGTCCAGGGCTTCTCAAGCTAAGTGGAAGGAGGAGAAGGCAGTATGAGCCCCACCCCTGATTGGAACAGAGCAGGATATCACAAGCCTGAGGTAAGTATCTTTATCCATCTCTCAGTCCCAAGGCTAATTATTCTTTAAACATCCATTTAGTATCATCTCATCTGCCTTTGTCCTTATGTTGCTAGTAGTCCTGAAACTCAGTTGGTCATTCTTACCCCTTCTTTAGCCCTTCATTGGTCCTCACAGGAGCTGAATCATCTTTGGATACCTCTCTGGATTTATATTCTGTAACGTTAATTTACTTCCTCTTGCTGATTTTACTTCACCAAAAAATGAGTCAGTCTGACCTACTGCCATTTGAGCCATCTGTCAGCTCTGAAGAGATGCCCAGCATGCGTTTCCAAATTGGGAGGCCACAGGCTTCCCAGCGACCTCTGGAGCATTATTCCACTGTTTATACTGAGTTTGTGAACAGATAAATTTTTACATAACATGAAAATTTTCATATTTTCTTTTTCTTGGGGATTTGATGCAGGACCCTTTTGTGACTACTTGAGATTAATGAGGGTGCTTATGTAAACAAGGGTATGGGGCTTCTTGCTTGGACCCAGGCCTTTCACTTGTTCAGTATGTACTTTGTCACCACCAGCTCCTGATTGCTGATACATGAATAAACTTCTTGTTTTTGGAATGGTCAACTGTCATAAATTTAATGTGAATTTCTTCCACGAATTCACCATGTACTGTAGAAACAGATCACTAATGACTTGAGTCATGGGGTGACTCATCCGTGCATCAGTAGGATGTTTGCAGATGACTTTACACACCTGTACAGATGCTTTCTAGAAGGAACAAATCAAGTATTTTGCTCTGACATGAGTTTGCATGGCATGTAAAGCCGTGTCACATGATACTGAAACCTTTCACTGAGCACACGAGAGGGAGATTTTGACTGTTGGGGGACCTCTGGGGTCTGTTCCATAATGCTGGGTTACTGAGGCCATCAAGCTCATGCTGTGAGGATTCACAGGGTCACAGCTTTCCATGCCACTTCATTAGAGGGGGGTGATGGCATCCTAATTCTGACAACTACAGATTATCCAGAGGCACTGCCCAGTTGCTTCTGCTGTTACCACCCTGCAAAACCAGGGCAGTGTCTCATAGACAAACACTTCATCTCCTGGCTCCCTGAGGACACTGGCTCTCTTCCATAGTCCTTGGTGTGCGCATCCCAGTCCCAATGCCGCTGTTGGGATTGTGCCAAAAGCTCTCTTCCTTTAACTTGTTCACCAGGTCAAATGAGAAAAAAAAATACAAGGTAATCTGTCTCTTTACACCACAATTGATTTCACTCTCTCCAGCTTTATGTCTCAAAACTTGGCACACAAACAGTGACATGAATTCCTGAAAGGAGTTCTTGAGACAATATGATAGACTTTGTTGAATGTCTGCTCCTATCTACATGTTTCCACCCATCTCAGAGCTGCCTAGTGACGTCATAGTTCCAAAGCTGATGGAGTGAGGAGG